AGGTGATGGCAGACCCAACGTAAGGCTGAAAGGCCAACTGATCAATAGACATTAAACTATTTTGCTAAAAAATGCATTTGGCTGTTTGGAAGACCTGTAGATAACCTGGTATTCAAGCAAAGAGGAGCTCCTGAGCTCCAAGGTCAAACACGCAGACCGTGGGGAAAAACATGCTAACCAAACGTTCAGAACCGAGCTTCCCTTGACATGCCTGTGTTCTGTACCCACGAGACACAAAAAAACTCGAATCTGCTTTTCAATTCAGCCTGAGAGAAGTTGCTAATGTGTGTCCCTCAGCTTTCAGCCCAGACTGCGAGGGGGCAGCAGTTTCTCATTGTGATTCCTGTATTCCGATGCACGTGTGACCTTGGAGGACCACCCACAGTGTTCCATACCAGTGGAACCAGAGGCTAATACATGTGATTCTCCATGTCTGCCTTTACATGCCATGTTCTATTTGGATAAACCACCTGTGCTCTAATTGGAGATTGTTAATGGGTTTAAGAGTATGCAGATTCCTGAGTCTCCAGATCCATGCTCAGGGAGACCTGAGTCTCTTTCAGTCCCGCTCCGGACTGCAGCGTCAGAGTGATTGAACACACAGAGTGTCTGGAAACAGCCACCCCACAGACTCTGCAGACTTTCTGTATCCAAACCCTGACACGCATCTGGCTGGAACCTAGATGTGCATCAGAGTATCAGGGGTGCAAAACAACAGCTTTCTTTTCCACACAACAACAGATCTGTCGCGGTTTATTGAGCATCACCAATAGACACAAGTCCACAGCATGTCTGTGAGGGGGGGTTTGCCACTGTGGACGACATATCTCCTTTAACCACACTTAGAAGCGCAGATCAATCATCCTCTCTGGAAAGCAACCAACCAGGGGCTACTTGTGCGAAGCGCATAAATACGTGCTGTCGTTTCGGCATCACCTGTCTGTTACGGAGCGCGGTAGTGTTGCACCCAGGAGGCCCGAGAGATGCGCGGCTCTCTCTTGAACAAACAGGCAGACGTGTGCACTTAGCCTGCGTCTGTGTCATTGAACGCACAGTCCCTGGTGGTGAACCACAGTGATCTGGATACACCCTGAAATCTAGCCTGACAGCGGCCTAACACCAGACAAAATTCCAGTTCAGTGAAGATCGGGACAATTTTAAGTTGACTAGACCACTTAAAATTGCTTGGTCCTAGTGGCCTTACACAAGACCCACAGCCAGAGTCTGGTCTATATCCCCTGACAATTGCAGAGGACTTTGCTAGTGATCCTGGGGTGTTCTGGCTTGCAGGCTGACATGTGTATGGAGCTGGATACTGTACTACTTAGCAGCTGACAGTGCAGAGAGGCCCGCAGCCACAGTGGGTGGGGTGGGCTGAGCAAGCTGGGGACCAGGCTGGAAACACAGCACAGGCAGAGTGTAAGAAGAAATGTCCAAAGGCAAACAAACAGCTGCAGATTCATTAAAAACTCCAATTAATGCATTTAGTTAAATTTTATCAATTTGCTTTCGTTGACAGCCTCAACCACCCCAGAGCAGGACTTGCATCTGCTGTTCACCTAACACCCACGATATTTCATCCGTAATGAGACGGGCTCCTACTGGTGCTTTTATTGGAAAAAGGCAGTGTCTGTGAATATAGTCCCTGTTGTGCCTTCAGACACCAAGAAATGTAAAAGCACCACAATTCCTTTCAATCATATATCGGGTGACAATGTCTTTGTCTTGTAGATTAATTTTATGACCCTGGAGTGTTAGTTTCCTGTAGGACATTTATGTAAATAAACTGCTCTTCAACTAATCAATCAGTTCCTATTCTACATAGGCCTGTGTTCATGGCAACCATATCAAAGCACTTTATAGAAAGTCATTAATTAGGCAGTTTATGATCAAGCTTTTTAATTAAAGTGAACTTCAGAAGAAGGTCCTGGTGAATGAGCCACCACAGTCCTTCAGGATGTGGCAGGAACACAGACTTCATCTTCACAGGAGGGGCTTATATTAGACCTGATTGTAAACTGGGGTCAGATGTGGTCTTGACACTTGTCAAATAGAGGTATGATAACAACCTTGCTCTCCTAGTACAAGCCTGTTAGTCAGAGTGACTGACAAGGCTTTCCTTGAATCCCTGCTGAAAAGTTCAGTCACTTAACTGAACAGTGCTTCTGAAATTAAACGAATGGCCTACAAAGTCCTGCTCTAGTGTCTTATATGTGGCACAGCCAGTGAGGTCTGAGCTTCTTGGTCGAAACCTCAGCAGAGTGATCTCTAACTAGAACTAGGAATTACTCTAGACCCCTTTCAGTTGTTCCTTGTCAAGTGGAAACTACAGACCAGTGCATTTTAAACTGAGAAAAAGAGGAACTTCACTACACAAAGAGCTGTGGGAGTATGGAACATGTCAGCCATATTGTTGAAGCTGATAGATACCCTACTTCTTTCAAGAAACATCTTTATGAGATCCTTATTCTGCCTAGAATACTAACCCTCCCCCCCTCAAAAAAAAGGGTTAAGTGGCTGCCTCACATTTGCATCTTTTCTGATGTGGGAAAAATTTAGATGTTAAGAGTTACTGAAGTCTTATCTCTGAAGGGTTCGGAGCTGAAATCACACAGACAGGTGAATCAACAGACACAAGCCCCTCAAGACTGGGATCAGGGATCCGGGACCCCTCTCTGACACCATCCTTGACACTGGCATTGGTCCACCCTCAGATTCAGTGACTGTGTGTACAGGGGTTCCCAGATACATCTTGGGGGGCCACAGGCCTGCAGGGTTCCTAGGTCTCTTTGAGCTCCAAAGCAGGGCTGGGCAGCACCTTCCCCCAAGGGAGTTGGCCCACAGCCTTGAATTCCACCTCTGACCTCAGCTGTTCAATGGACCTAATTCAGTGGAGGAGACGTCAGGCTACCCACTGTTCTCGTCTTGGTCAGTTCCTCATTGAGGAAGGCCTGTGAAACCTGCAGGCCTCGGCCCCTGAGCCCTGTAATTAACTGATCCTGCCCCTCGGACAAGGGCCGCGGGTGAGCCGATGAAGGCTCGACCAGAGACCAGTGCGTTCCTGCTCCAAGGCCTCCAGCTGCTGGTGATTTAAAGGGACAATGGAGAAGCTGCAGGATACGGCCCCTGGGGACCACTCAAAGCACTTTACAATAGTGCTTAGCGCAATTAGGTAATGGGGACTCCCCTCCACCACCACCACCAGTGTGCAGCCCCACCTTGATGATGGACGACAGCCATAGTGCGCCAGAACGCTCACCACACACCAGCTATAAGTGGGGAGAAGAACAGAATGATGAAGCCAATTCATAGAGGGGGATTATTAGGAATCTATGATTGGTAAGGGCCAATGGGAAATTTGGCCAGGACGCGGGGGTTACACCCCTACTCTTTTCAAGAGATTTTTAATGACCACAGAGAGTCAGGACCTCGGTTTTATGTCTCATCCATAGGATGGTGCCTTTTTACAGTATACTGTCCCCATCACTATACTGCGGCATTAGCACCCACACAGACTGCAGGGTGAGCGCCCCCTACTTTGCCCCACTAGCACCTCTTCCAGCAGCAACCTTAGTTTTTCCCAGGAGGTCTCACGTCTCCAGGTACAGACCAGGCTCACAGTGCTGAGCTTCAGTGGGCCTGCCAGTTGTGAGCTGCAGGGTGATATGGCTGCTGGTTGCCTGGCTGGCTGAGGAGATCTTAACACAATTCAATGCAAGGTTTTATATCCCACTGGGGAAATTTGTTTTACAGCACACTCCCCACACAACGGTCAACACAACGACCGACAAATTTTTACCCACCAAGAAGTCAGTGAAACGGTGTTACGGTGAGATAAGGGAGAAGACGGAAGAAGGCCAACAGCTCCCCTGGGACAGGAGGGGGCAGACGCGGCGAGGAAGAGAGTGAAGAAGAGAGTTTTTAGTTTGTCATTAATTTTCCTTCGGCCATTTTCCCCCATCAACACAAACTTTGTTGTGCGTATTAGCAAGGGAATAAGTGCCGGCCCCCTCCCCTCCGAGCGCTCTTTGGAAACGGGGCGGCGTTTGAAGATCACAGGGCTTATTAGCACTTCCACGGATCCTCTCATTAGCGACACCGCTCCGACTGACAACACGCTTTCATGAATAGAATCACTCAAAAATGCAGAATTTTACAGCTAATTATTCACGGACCCTAAGACAACCACCCTAAATAACCCACCCCAAGCACAACCGTTCAGTTTGCTGTTGGCAAGCAGGACTCAGACAAAAGCAGTCGATACCCTATACTACTCAGTAACACGGATCAAGTGCTGAAATAAACTGTAAAATCTGCGGCTTCCGACAACGACGAACTCACTAAAACGGAATACAGTACTACACTGAAAACGAGTTACCTTTCGTCTTCCCATTTCTCAAATCCGATTTTAAAATAAACTTCATAAATATGTAGCCAATTTATAGAACGTATTAGAATACACAATCCACATGTTTAAAATTACAGTTTTACCTACAAAAAAAAACAAGCTGCCACAAACCACCATCAAAACGGAAATCAGAGCATCAAGAATTTTAAACACAGAGACTTATTTCTTCATATAAACTACAAACACGCCTTCATTTTGGGATTTGAAGTAAAACGGTCAAGAAACATTGTTTAGCAGAAGAAACAAAATAATAATAATAATAATAACGTATGATATCAGCATTTAATTAACATCCATGACTGAGTTGAAAGCTGCCTTTTTATTTTGTATAATAATAATAACCGTGGAATAGAGGACTTTATTGTTAGTTCTGTCAATCTTACGATCAATAACAAATAACAGAATTAAAAAACTGATGAGTAGGTTAATCACAACCCAACCAACACAAAAGTAACGCATTTCGCACAGCGTGACAGTACGGTTTTCAATACTTGCGGAAAGACCGAGTCGCAGAGTTATTTTTAAACCCTTCGTTACTTTTGAACGCTGTTGGAAACCTGTCAGTCACGGCGCGCCGGCAGGTAGCTCTTACCTCTCGACTGAGGTGCGTCGACCAGCAGCAGCAGCAGCGCCAGAGCGCAGGTCGCGACGCTCGTTGTTCTCCACATAACTGTGTGTTGGGCTTTTTTAATGTCTTTGCAAGTTTTAATGTCCTGGGCAACACGCTTGCCTTTTGTTGTTGTTGCGTTTTTTTTTTTCGTTCCCCGTTTCCCGGGATGAAAGATGTAGTAGCCTTAGTTGTCAAAGGCCCTTTGAGCTATAAATAACTGCGGGAGAGAGCTAGGGAGCGTGTGTGAGAGATACAGAGGGAGGGGGCAGTGGTAAGAGATGTTTCCTCTCTCACCCTCTTCCCTGAGCTGCTGAGCCCCAAAGCAACGGATTTACAGCAGCGAGAAGTGCCACGTGTGTCGGCCGGCGCCTAGTGGAGTGTGCCGGTCACTGTAGACCGCAACACACAGCGACCGGTTTGAGGACGCTCTGAATGTGCCGAGAAGTTCTTCGTATAACTCCCAGCGCTTCTTTTTGCCTCAATTCCGGGATTTCACAGAAGGATCGGTGCAGCAGAGTGGTAAACGGAGTCCCGGGTCCCGCTCTGGGTCGCGCAAGCGGCTTGTTGTCCGGCTCCCTGCTGCCTGGCTGCTCGGTCCTACAGTAGTTCAGTCTGGCTGCGAGCGCTGAAATGAGACTTGGTTTTGCTCGCCCTCTTCTCGAGCAGCAGGCTGGCAGACACGCCTCGAGTGGCAGGCGATTGGCTCCTTAGAGTTTTTAAGGACGTTTACAACACTGCTTTTATCACCCCCCTCCACACACACACATACACAGCCTCCGCCTGCACAAGCCGCTCCCCTGCTAAACGCACGACGCGAAAGATCTCACAGAGGAGCGACCTCACTGTTCTGCTGTAGGTGCACCCTCTGGACGTGGATCCAGTCTGTTGCAGGGCTGTGGGGGTTAGTGATGGCGAGGTAGGCGAATTTCAGGCGTGGGCAGGGCTGACTGGTCATATCGGTCTAGCCACCTCGACTGGCCGTGTCATTCGGGGATCGTTTTGATTTGTAGTTTCTGGTTCAATCGCCTCGTTGCATTAAACACAACCAGGGGACTCCACAGCCTCAGTGACGTGCTGACTCCAATCTAGGTATCGCTGCAATACAGATACAATGTCTTTCATTCTTCTTTGGGGTACTTTTGGCCAGAGCTTTAACGACGTGTTTGCGAGCATTAAAAGAACTGAGAGTACAAGGTTTCCTGCGTAGCAAATGTGTACATCACAGGCCGTCTGCCCATTTCAGCGCGCTGGTAAACACGCGTGGTTACCAGTCCTCCGCTCTGAGAAGTGTTCCGGGGGCGGCCGGTCCGTGGGGGTTACCTTCAGCCCCGTACTGTGCGCATCACTCTGAGTGACAGCCACTCTGCCTTGAAAGTTTGTTCTCGAGGTTACTTTCTTTAAAATGGTCTCCCACAACTATTAATCCTGACAGAAAAGTGGTTAGGTAAAACTAAAGGAGCACTTTAACTAAAGGGGCAGTTTTGATTTTGTTTCCATAGGCGGCATTAGTAAAAAAGAAAAGCAGAAAAGCATGTGCAGCAGAATGGGAAAACAAACCCCAAACACCCTAAAAAAAAACAGTTTTTGGGACAGATGACACTTATCCGCTAAGGAGAGACAACAGCGGAAGCAGAGACGGACTAATACGCTGCCCCGCAGCGCGACAGATCCACACCCAGCACAAAGCGTTTTCCCGCAGAGACGCACCTGTCACTGTTATTGACCAGAAACCCACAGAGCTACAGGCCAGCGGCTAAACGCGTTTCTAGAATCACAGTCCCGCCCCTGTAGGGCAGACACGTAAATGACTAGGCTTTAAGAACATGTATATTTTAATATCTTCACATCCGGATATATTTAATTGTATGCAGTGTTAACGAGCTGTTTTGACACCGGCATTTCTTTACATTACCCACCCCACCGTGCCTTGAGCCTGCCTTGTCTGGTACTGGAGAAAACGAAACAAGATCAACACATTTAAAATCACGACTTATCAGTAATAATGTGAGACGGTTTATTTATTTATGATGATGATGATGATGATGATGAAAAAGAGAAGGTAACACGTATTGAAAGTATTTTCTAAACTGTGAGGAACCTGTATTTTGACATCAGAAGTATGTGGTTTCTCTCACCAGTTGCTGAATCACATCAGCTGTAAATGACGTCAGTCACCCCAAAATCAGCTGCTCCTGTTTCCATGACACGCGGTTTCCAGAGAAACCCTCGACTGCACTTGTACCCTGGCACCGCTAGAGGTCGCTGCATTCACTCTTCTTAGGAATAGCTGCTGCAGCGTGCGGACTACGGCTGGTATTGCAGATCAACCGCTCAGACAATTACGGCAGCGATGGGTGTCAAACATACGCCAATATATCGAGCAGTGCTTTTTACTGTACAGTATTTTTCTTTTTATAAAGTATTCCTAGGGTAGTAGTAATCATCATCATCATTCTGTCAGTTAATGTTTTTGTTTTTCTTATTAATTTAACCAACGTTAAGAATATATGTTAAGAACATGTGAACAGAAGAGAAATGACAACCCCAAATCTATGTTTTCGGGCAGCTTGTTCCAGACCCCTGATGCTCTTGTGTAAGGAAATGTAAGGAAATCACGGGTGTGTCCTGGGTTGACCTTTTCAACTCCTGCTTTGGTCTGTATTCTGGCCTGCTGCACACTGGCCACAATACTCTTCTATGGAGCCGCCTGCTCTGGAGTTCTGTCTTCAGAGCTTAAAACTGCTGCTGTCACACTAGTGAAAAAAAAACGAACCAACCAAACGGTATGTGAAGTAATTACAGGCTTACTTCAAACCATTTGTCATCGAAAAGAACGAATTCTCGGGTGGTTTTTGTTTCACCCAAGACCTCAGCTGCGTGGTTAGGCTGATTATTAAATTCGCTGCCTAATTGTAATACTTCTAACACGGATTTGAGGTACCGCACAGATAACAGTACCTCTAAGAAAACTGGACATATTTTAATTCAGAAAATAATTGTTTTTTTTTAAGTGTTTAATAATTGACTACTCATGTTGAAACGAAAACCAGAAGACACAAGGCTCTCCAAGTAACTGAGTTTGCGACCTCTGGTATGAAACAGTACAGCACTCCGTCCAGCGCGACTGTATCTGCTGTGGTTTGCCAGTAGGGGACATTGTTACACTAGAATATCCCATTTTGTTAAACTCCACCCCTCCCACCCGCAAAAAGAGAAAAATACATTTTCCACAATGCACCGCGGGGGACCTATCTTTATATAAATGACCGTAGCGTGCCTGATCAAAAAGAGAAATTAAATAGCGGGAAGACCGCAAGGGAAAAGCGAAAACGCAGCGGGGCTCATTCTCCACCCCCCCCACTTGAATTATTTTAATGTACACTATGGCATTATTGCTGACATTTTGCTTGTTTCCTGTCATACAGCGCGTGATTTCGCATGTTGAATCCCCCCTCTCCCTCCTGTCTGATGGAGTCCGAGGCAGCAGCGTCATTCCGGATGAGGACCCAGCGAGGCTGGCTGAGTGTGCTCTTGCTGCAGTGAAGCAGCGGCGTGTCTGACAGTGACGAGACGGAATTTGTACAAATATCCATATATCACTGCTCGCACGTATGTAGTGTAAGCTGCATATCCAGCTGTAGTTCTGTACCTTAAGTTATGGCATGACGGACCGCCTTAGTCACGGAGTAGCTAGCGTTATCGTGTTTCCCACCAGTAGCATCTTCGTATACTGATGGTTGATGCATTTTTTTAAAAAATAAGGCTGGCTTTTCGATGCCGATGTGAGAGGAACGCTGAGTGGCATCATGGACATCGGAGCGGAGTAGCTCAGGCGCTCAGCTGCTGTCTCTGAGGAGCTCCGGCGACCGGGAGCAGGCAGGGGCTGTTTTTTTAACGCCTCCCGAATCGCAGGGGGGACGAAAATTCAGGGAGAGAGGGCGGGTGTACCGTTTCTGAAAGGGTTGCAGGGAGGCGAGGAGTCGTTGATTTTGTTTTATCTGTTCGGAAAACACGCTTAGTCCAGAGGTCTGGGGCGTAGGGTAGCTTGAAGGAGAGATCGGACTAGTGCCCCGCCGGTCATTCCCGCTTCACCAGAGGCGGCGATCACAGGGGCAGTAGTTGTATTTCTCCGGGACGTTCCCCAAACCACCTGTCCTGTCCGACAGTCGGCTTTCTACCCCTGCCTGTTTCTCACTCGCATTGAGCAGGCATGGAGCCGGGCCGACCCGCTCACTCTCCCGATTCCCTGGAGTTCACGGTGGAGAACGTGGAAAAGGTGAGTCAAATTAAATTCCCCATCCCCACTCGTACCCGTGGTTGTCACGGTAATGCAGTTTTGCGGTAATCGTGGGAAAGGTGGTTTACGCTAGTAGTGGTATTTTAAGGGGGCAACACGCACGTAAGGTCTGGCTTTATCATCACTAGTGCCGCTGATATCGGGTATCAAGATGTCTGTTGCTATTTTTATGAGGGAATGTTACTATTGGCAGGGCTGTTGTTTAGGCTGTGGGTGTTTGTGACAGTGTCAGCTCCCACCTCCCCCCCCCGGGGGCGTGGGGGTATTGGCTGCGCCGTGTCCGTGCGGAGACGGTGACACTGGAGCACAAACGCTGCGAGGCGGGGGGTGTCACATACCGCACGCACCTGGCAGCCGGCTCCTCTGCAGCTCTTCCACACCCGACACCTCAGCAGTGCGATCGGGCTGATCGATACTCCTGACAGCTGCAATGGACTTTGACGTCCCCGGGCACCAATGGGCTGTGGTGTGTGTTTCTAAGGTCCGGTCTGACCCGCTGTGCAGTGTGAGCGGTGTCTTGGTTGTGTTGTCAGGGAGCTCACAACGAAAGCTTGGGAGCGATGACAACAGCCACGTTAAGTCAGCCTCAGCCGCTCTAAAGCCTGATGATTCTTGACGTCGTTTCCTTTAAAAGGGGTAAATACTACACCTCTCTTCCAACCACTCCGTCAGCCCATCTCCAGCTGTTTAGCTGCCCCTTGTCCACCCCTCAATCTGCAGAGGGACCCCAGCCTCCCTGTGCTGTGGCCAGCGGGCAGGCCCACTGCCGAGAGAATTAAGATGAAAATTTACTGCGACTGAAACACTCAGTACCCATTCTCAACACGCTTAAGCTCGGTTTGGGCTGAGTTTTAGTGATGGTCAGGTCAAACCTGCTGGACTTCTGTCTGACAGCTCCACCTGGACAGTGTGGACGGAGAGTGAGGGCAGGGCGCTGTCAGGGCCCGCTGGACTCTTCTCTGCAGTCCGCATCATTCTGGTGTGTCTGGGCAAGCAAAGACCTGTAGCTCACAGGCCCCCAGTCAACAGCAGCTTGTGTCTAGAAGGGCAGAGTTTAAAGAATGCTGGGCAGCTCTGTTGCTAAGTTACCTGCAGACTGCCCTGAGGTTTAGTTGGGTCCAGTTGGTCTTTCCCCCGTGTGTCAAATTTGTAGTGATGGCGAGGTGAGTAAGCAGCTGGAGTGGACAGATTTATTTGTATGACCGACCTGCCTGTAATCTTCAGTTTTGCCAATCTCTTTGCGGTACGGGGCCCTCCCAGTGCAGAGACAGTGAGAGTAAAAAAAAAAATCTCAAGTTTAAACCAGGGATGGCCACATTTGGCCCGTCAGAGATCGCACTCCAGCCGCTACAAAATGGCGGCTCAGTTTTCTGTCTCTGCCTCGTCAGCGGCTTGGACTGAAGGGGAGTCTATTCCTTGAGGACCGCAGGGCCTGCCTTTCCTGCTCCTCTCTGCCCAGGAGGTGTTTAACGAGCTGAATCCGTTATTGATTCACAGGTTCAAGCTTCCCCAGTATTTCCCGTACGGGAGCTCCAGCGATGACTTCCAGGTTTTGTGGTCAGCTGCGGACATTTTATCTAATAACGCTATAGTTCCTTTGGGATCTTTTTTTTTTTTTCCTCTGGATTCCATCAGGCAGTTGCGGTTTTCAGCTGTAGCGCTGATGTGATCAGTCAAAAGCCAGAACGCTGGAATTTGAGGGTGGCGTTCTGCATGATGGAGGCATCAAGTGTACCCACCTGACTTGTTAGCTGTTGTCAAGGGTGTGGGCTGTTGGGGCGGGTTGGCTGGACAAAGCTCTCATCCAGCGCTAGGCCTGCTGGCTCTTGTCCTCTCTGCTTTTGCTTACTAATGACTGGCCAATGATGGTTCTGGGCAGTGGTGTCAACATTCATACCAGAACCCAATTTTTTCCCCATCCAAGCTCATATCCTGCCTTCAGAGATCCATTAAGCCGTTTTTATGTCTACTGGAGGGAGTTCGGGATGAGTGATTTTAGAATGGGATTTTTTCGTTATTAGTTGTGAGGTGATAAAGCAATAATGGGGGTTTGAAATGAACACAGTTCTGCACGTGCCGAAGCCAGAGAACGTGGGCAGGGTGAAGACTGCTGAAGAATCCTTTGTCTTTTCTCCTGCTGGGGGAGTCTGCTTCTTTTTTGTTTTTGTATGCACAAGGCGACGATAAGTGAGTCCGAAGCTGCTGGTTCTTCAGTTTTGTGATCGTCTAAGCCGGGGGTCATCAGTCCTGGTAAAGCACCGGCACCCGTTGAGAGCGGAGAGCAGGTGGGAAAGTGACCCAGTCTAGCCCGTGATGAGCCGATTCAGGTTGTTCAGGCCTCAGCTGTGCTACACACCTGTAGACAGGACGGCCCCGCGGGATTAGAAAGGGAAACCGCTGGTGTAAATCGCTGTGACTGGCCTGATTCTGGGTGGCCTTCTCTCCTGCGCTCAGCTCGGCTCTGGGAGCTGCAGGGCGCTCTGGGATTGCCTTCCTGCTGTAGTCATGGCCCTGAGCTGGTTGTGCGCGTGGGCTGGCGGGGGAATGGAGCGAATGATGAAATGGGCGCTGGGGCATTGCACTGCAGGGATGTTGTTGACGTGCTAGTTTGTGTTAGAAGGGAGCTCCGAGGTTGAGGGTGCAGACCAGGGTTCGAGCAGACAGCAGGGCGGGACTCACCCAAAAGGCACAGCTTCCTTGCTGGGTTTGAATCCTACCTGAATGTGACCGGTGCAACATCCGGTACCAGCGACAGAATCCGGACTCCCAGCACAGAACATTTTGAACAAGTCTGGATTGCAGGCTCAATTACAAATCCCACTAATTTACCTTCAAAGAAAATTTCACCTGCAAGTTTGATATTTTATCGCATGGCTGTTTGTGTATATTTGCATGAAATGAGCTCACAAGCATGGAGAGCTACTGCTTGCAGCTGATGTAGAAGGGCTGATGTAAAATTCCGACATAAAACCACGTAAAAGAGCTTGTAACTCATATAACGGATCCTTGCGAAGGAAATTGAATATTATTGCCAGTGCCAACACAACATGATGCAATGCCACAAGGGTATAGTTTATTCAGCGCGGTATTAATACATTGCAGTTCAAATACAGTCAATTTGTTCAGTAAAAAGCATTATGCATACTGAATACAGGGAAATGATATACAGTACAAAGTGAGTCAGCTTTCATTGGAAAATGTACTCTTTTATGGAAGATTTGCTGTTTGTTTTTATACTTGGTTCGGAAACAAATTGGGAATGGATGATCACGGCGCTGCTCTGTTGTCAAGAGCCAGGCACTGTGTAAGACACCGCAGTGGTCTGGAGTCTCCACACTGGTGCTCCAGGGTGCGAGCACTGCGCTACAGCCCTCCGTACGGGCGGCTCTGGACTGGCCATGCCTTTGGCATTTCCCATCTTTTGCTCCTTGTGTCTGTCCCATCTGCTTTCCCCTCTTGATCCAGCCCTGGCTGGCCTCCCATCTGTCTGAAATGCTAGAATTGGAAAGGATCCTGTCGACTGAGGCACCGGCGTTGAGCTTGAGCTGGAAGGCTGTGACTGTGTTCTGGTGAGAATGAGACTCGTGGCAGGGTGGCAGGGTGGAGCTCTGACCCTGTCTGCTCTCCTGGCTGAGATGCACGGATCGGGATCACCGTTGGGGCTCTCTCTGGGTCTTCATCCTCCTCTTTCTCCCCCTGCTCTTATGCTCCCTCCTTCTTTTGTCTTGGCCTCCTCTGCCTTTCCCTCCCCTCCCTCTCTCTTCCTCCTCCTCCTCCTCCTCTCTCGCCGGCTCTTTGTGCCCGGCGGGAACGGGCTGGTGCGTGCCAGCGGGTCGCCGTGGCTGCAGCCCGTGGGAGCGTGCGGCCCTGCTGTGTCCTCTAATTGTGTTTTTGTGTGCTCCGGTGTGGGTAACGCAGGTGGGGGCGGTAGTTGGAATCTGGGACAGCACCTGTGGCCGTGTCTCTTCAAAAAAAAAAAACACTTGTGGGTTTCTCTGTGTGGCCAAATTTTGCCGCCAACTTACAGTCCAAAAAGAATCTCTCGGGGGGGGGGGGTTTCACACCGTGTGGCGGTTCCGCTGAGCGGCGTTTGGAATGGTGAGTTAGAAAAGCGTGGTCAATGGGAAGGCCCTGCAAGTCCAGGAATTTGGGCGTTTGTGTGTGTGCTCGCAGGGTCCCTGTGCTGTGTCCCTGTGTGCGCGAGCGCGTGTACAGGTTCGCACCCGTTCCTGCGTGCGCCTGCAACACTGACTGTGTGTGGGGGGGAGATGGTTGAGGCTGTGGTGATGGGGGGTGGGCGATGATTGCTGCGTGATTTGTGCTGCACAGGTGAAGGGGGGCTGGGGTGCATGCTCATCTCTCCTCCTGGGAGTCTCTTTGGCAGGAAGGGCCCTGAACGGTTACTTCAGAGCCATATGAATGCGTTCTGGCGCACTATGGCTGCTGTCGCATCATCCAGGTGGGGCTGCACACTGGTGGTGGTGGAGGGGAGTCCCCATTACCTGTAAAGCCCTTTGAGTGGAGTGTCCAGAAAAGCCCTATATAAGTGTAAGCAATTATTATTATTATTATTAATTACTTTTTCAAAATGGGCCGAGGGGGCCTACGTTTGCTCTTCGGAAAGCATGGAGGGCGTAGGGTCAGTGATGTAGAAGGAACAGAATGGAGTGGAGACCAGAAAGGCCTTCTGACGTCCAAAAGCGGGAAGTGGATTTGATCGGTCTGGATTCATCGGGTGGAGGCACGGCTGCTGTATTCCACAGAGAATGGTGTGGGCACAGATAAGAATGACTGTTCCTCAGCACCCCTCCCATTGTGTGCCGCAGGGCTGGGAAAAGTGGTAGTACCCTTCCCTGTCCAGTCCAGCAAATGAGTCATCCTCTCCTGCAGAGCACTTTCTATCATTTAAAAAATAATAACAAGGAAATTACAACCCGGTGAGTCAGGTTTAATTTTTGTTTTGCAGATTTGGCGTTCTGTTCTCTGCCCCTCCAAATCGTCTTGGCGCCTGCGGTGCGCGCCTTCCAGCATTTGTAAAAAGTGCGTAGATGGGGCCTCGGTTCAGCGTTGCTCCTGTGTGGGCCTGTTTATACCAGGTAGCCAGGGCCACAGTTCCACACTAAGGCTGCTCACAGCGCGCGGCCGCCCTGTGACAGCTGCCCCTGGCTCTGGTGCCCTGGCACTGCCAGGGTGGAGTGACACAGTCCCTTGTGCCTTTGTCCGTGGCGGGGAGGTGAATGCCCGCATTGTCAGTTGTTCTTGAGAGCGCGAGTCTGCTGACCAGCAGCTCTGTTGAAGGGGGACGCCTCACCATGGCGAGATTGCTCGGGAGGGAGGCAGGGTGATTGAAGGGTGACGTATCCATTGTACCGAACATGAGGCACGCCGTTGTGCTTCAGGACACCCCCATCAGCCTTACTCTCTTGGTGATCCTTTAAGGGTTCTTCTCCGGATCGGGGGGATTGTGCTGTAAATGACAAAACTCCTTAAGCCAAGTTCAGGATAGCTGCAGCTGAGAAGTGATAGCTTAAAAATGAGACGTTCGCACACCTGTCATATCAGGAGAAGGTGGGGATTGGAAGCTGCATCTCTGCTTCTCATCTGACTTGCTGCTACCGAAAATAAGCCCTAGAGAGACTGTCGATCGCTCTGTCTACCTGCGTCTCTGTCCAGGGCTGATGCGGTTGCCTGGCAATGAATGCCTGGTAACTGTACCAACACGGGTACCTTTGGGTGTTTTGTGTGCAAGCTTTTTGTATGAACTGCACTGTTTCATATTTGATATCTGACCTGCCCAAAGTCACAGATGACAAATACAGATCGATATTTGATCAGCAGCACGAATGCTGTAGAAGTAAGTCAAGTAAGAAGAAAGTCAAAGAGTCTTTCTTAACTTGACTCTGCACAAATGTGTTTTTAAGTGTTGTTTAATCATGTTAAAAGCCTGGATGTGTGCACTGCCCATATGACAATGACCTCTTTTGCACACTTTTTTTGTAACGTGGCTGTGTTTGAAATTGGAAAAAGGAATAACTCTTGTCCCAGCCATAAGGTTTTGATGTTTGTTGTATAGTTTCCTCACGCTGTCTACTGTTTTGTGGTCTTGCTCAGTGGTCACAAACACATGGCTCAATTCCTGGATGCCACTCCTGAAGCCAGGGTGAGGACTGGGGAAGGAGGCAACTAATGAATCTGGCATTGGTGCCCATGATGTGTGGTAGTCTGAGGATTGTCTTCAGGGCTATAGGGGCTGGCTCTGGATGTTAACTTGACTGTGATAGCCAGGCACTCACTCTGGGCTAGGAGCCTGGCTTTGATCTTCATGCTGTAGGATTTTGACACTGATTAGGACTGGCTGGGATCTTCAGACTGTAGTGCTTGTACTGGATTGTGATCCTGGCTGTTTGCCGGAATGTAGGGAGTAATCCTGAACTGGTCCCTCATTGAGATCCTAGTTGTGGTCTCCAGGCAGCAGAGGGGATATCCTGGATATCGATCCTGGTTGTGATCCCAGGATCCCAGGGAGAGAAGCTTGGGGTCAGAGCACAGGGTCAGCCATTGTACAGCGCCCTTGGAGCAGTTGGGGTTAAGGGCCTTGCTCAAGAGCCAGAGTAGGATTCCTCTGCAGGCTGCAGGATTTGAACCGGGACCCTCCCAGTCACAGGCACAGATCCTTAGCCACAGAGCCACTGCTCTGCCCTGGGCTCATGCATGCAGTAGGATCCTGTTGTCTTCACCTTCTTACAGTGGTAAAAGGAAGCCAGTTTGCACTTTAAAGCAGAACTAGTGTTTGTGCGAGACCGCTGTACTTCTCTGATATCACAGTTTGGAAGCTAAGGGAGCTCTCCGTTTTGACTAAGGACCTATTATTAGGTTTGTTTTTAGCAGGTTGGTTTTCTTTTGAATCTCTTCCAAGAAAGCAGCAGATCTTGGCGGCTTTCCAGTGGACAGTATTTCCCAACTGTCTCATCTGATTTTATTTTCACATTTTTCAGCTGTGTGTATTCACTTCTTTATTTTTACAAGATCTGTCGCTTGTACCGTAGCTCACAGTCCAGTGCAGTAGCTCTGCTGTGTATTTAAGTGTCTTTATACACTGCTGCTATTTATTACTCTTATATTAAGTGACAAATAGCTACAGTACAGACACAGTGAAGCTAAGCAACCTGTCCCAGATGTCTGTGTGTGTATGTACAGACGTAAAAAGACCTGCAAATGAGACCTGTCCCAGAGACCCGCCCTCTCTGTGAGTAAGGAAGTATTTCCTATTCCCTGTCCTGAATACATTCCCCTTCAGTTTTTTCATTCTGACCCCATAACCCTTGTTTCACTCCAGAGTGGGAAACAGCCCCCTGGGTGAAACCTGTCAGTACTCCTTAGGGTTTTGTGTACTTGGAGCGAAGCTCCTCCATCCTTATCTGTTCTTCACTGAAGAGATTTAACTCCCTCAACCTGCCTGTATGTCACAGTCTCCTGAGACCAGGGCTCGTTTCTGTTCCCCTTCTTTGAACTCTGTCTAGGGGTAGAATATCCTTTCCATAGTGTAGTGTTCACAATATTCTAGATGAGGTCTTACTAGAGCTGAAGCATTAGTACATTAGTAGAGACATCTCTTCAAGTTAAATGTCATTGCAGTAGAACCCAGCTGGACTGTTGCCTGGCAAGGCAGAGTGGCGTAGTGAAATTATTGGGGTCTCGCGGTTGTGCGCATGTGTCGCCCAGGAGCGGCAGCGGCTCTGAGGCCGTGTGGGGGAGGTGGGGGTGGGAAGGGGTGCGCAGGGCTCTGGTGACGGCTGGCATGTGCTGTGTTAATTATATCTCCGCGCCGCGCGGGCAATCTGTCACCGTTGGCAACAAAGGGCTTGTTTTCCTCTGCGCTGCAGGGACGCCAGCAGCCTTGACTCCGCTGCCTCCACCGGGAGGGAGGCTCACGGTCTCGCTCGACCAAGCGGGGCGTCTGCCCCAGCACTCCGGCGCCTTGCACTGTTCCACGAGCCCGAGCGCGGCGTACATTTGTCCGGCTGTGTGCGCCACGCTCCGGCAGTGGCGTTTGAAGCGTTTGTGAACGTGGTTGTGCTCGCTGGCGCTCGTTGAAGTGGGACCTGCCTGGTGCACTCCTGCCAGACACCACCAGCTCGGCTCGCTCACACTCACCTGTTTGCGGTCGGCTCAGCCGCTGCAGGAGGCCGCTTTGCAGCGGGTTCGGAGGAACACGACAAGGCGGGTCGAGGCGGGTCTGCTGAACGTATGGCAGCTGGCAGGAGTGTGTTTGTGGGGGATTTCCGGAGAGAGGAAGCCCTTCAACTTCACGTAGCTCGTTTTGACGTAGTAGCTAATGGATCCAAGGATCTCATGCAGACGTTTCTTGAAGGAAGCCTGAGTATTGGCGGGGTAGCTTGCCCCAGGACCCCAAAGCCCTTTCGTCCTCTCCTCAGAAGGCTGAGGTCTCCCCACACCACCTTGTGTAGTGTGGCGTTCAGAGCCGTCAGTCATGTGGCGTGTTGCGGCCCTGGAAGGAGCACCAGTGAGCGCTGGAGGGGGGGCACATCTCTCACCGTTGCCACAGTGGGCTGTTTACTGGAGAGCTGATCCCCAGTGGACTGACCCAGCTCTTCCCTGGGGCCGATCGCCACGTGCACGCTGCAGGCCTGACCCGGGAAAGGCACGGACAAGCAGCCTGGGATGGTCAAAACTCTGGGTTCCTGGGTTTGTTTGGTTAGTACATCTCATGCAAAGAACTATTTTAAAATCGTAATTTTCTCTTATTGGTGTGATTAGAATAACAGGACAGCTCTTACACAGGGATCAGCTCTTCAGGATTGACCATTAACGTGAGATAAGACTTCACGGGGGAAAACCGTGACATTTGAAGAGTGGAACAAGGCCAGGAGTCTCAGACTTTTACACAGTGTACATCCACTAAACATTAAGTAGTTACTCTACATATTTAAATAGGTCTCTTTGGGTGAGTTTATTCATAGTATAAACTGACAGTGGCAGCTCATTCAAGAGACATCGTGCCCTGCTTCATCTGAAGAAGACCATTCATTGTGGAACATAGTCACAGTACTGAGTAGGTGCTGCACAATTATGTTTTTGGCCAAAAAAGTTTAGAAAACCAGCCTGATCATCTGTGCATTGAAATGCTGCAGGAACAGCTGAGTATAGATACTTGACTGGAATTCCAGCGTCACCACCAGCTGTTATGTTACTGGAAGCAGAAGGACGGACCTTTTCCAGGGGGACACAGGTGTGTGTCTTTGTGCGCACAGTACCAGCAGCCTGTGGTCACACTGAAGTACAGGATTCTTCTGTGCTCTTGGCGTCTGTGGCCTGTGCTGTCCTGGACATGGTCTGTCCGAGATGCCTCATTATCTGACTGGTCCCAGCAGCCCTGGGATGGGGAGCCCATCGCGAGTGTGCAGTAGTGTTTGGGAATCAATTTGTGAGAGGCGGCTGAAAGTCATGAAGAAGCTGACTTCTTGATCGTATGTGGTTCAGACTGGTGCCGTATGACATACTGTAGATTTAATTTCTCCCTTTCTTCCTTTGTCCTGTCTGTTCTTGTGCTTCCCCTTTGTTTCTGCTGCCCCTGTTATTTCTCTCTCTCTCAATGCTCTCTAACCTGTGTTCCTCCTCCTGCCCCCCTTCCAGGCGCTGCACCAGCTCTACTATGACCCCAACATCGAGAACAAGAACCTGGCACAGAAGTGGCTGATGCAGGCGCAGGTGTCGCCGCAGGCCTGGCAGTTCTGCTGGGTGCTGCTCAGTCCGGAGAAGGTGAGGAGCAGGAGAGGACGACGAGAGAAATCCGTCCAGGAAGACGTGTTGAAATCCTGCACGCTGGGATTTTAGCAGATTGATCCAGTCAGCACCTTGATCATCAAAACTCCACCGCATGTACATGTGTACATCTTGTGTTTTATTACTGTGGACAAGTTAGGGTGTTACGCGTCGTGTATATTCATGTAGATGTTTTATCTACTGATCAGGAGCTGGTTGGATTCAAAAGGTGGAATGGGATGGGAGGGGTTCAGGACCGGATTGGGAAGCAACTCAACAATAAAGCACATTTCCCAGTACTAGATGTGTGCTTTGGAGACTTCTGAAGGACTGTCGTACTCTAGCGGAGGGAATTGCATCATGAAATGTATTTTTAGAACGTTGCAAGCCTTTGAAAATTCTAAAAGAACATTAAAATCACATCCCAAATTATCACGCTGTGCCGCCAGCGGCCTACTTATTGTGTGACAATTGATTATGGTCGGCAGAGTGCAATGGCTTGAAAAGGCATTTTCTGCGGATTTTTCTTGTTTTTCCGAAAGTTTGAAGGTGCACATCTAGCAAGAGCAAATGCAGGTATAAAGGCAGAAAAATAGCTATCGGAGGCTTGGGTGGTGAGTTGGAGGCAAGAAAAGTGGCAGAATGTTTCACTTTAGCAGTAAGCTCTTTAAAGATTATTCTGTTAGCAGTTCTCTCTGTATCAAATTAAGTTTTGAAAGATCAGAGATTATCTGCTTCAAGAAGCGTTGCATGTCAGTTTGTTGACTGGCATTGCAAATCGTCAAAGCATTGACTGGTATTGAGTCCTCGTTTGTGTTCCTGTGTTCTGTTTGATTACTTGGGATTGACCGAACAGTAAATGAAGCAGTGAGACAGAAAAGGGCAGGGATGGTCTTGGATCTTGTCTGCTGTTGCTTTTGTCTGTGCAAGAGGTAGCTGAGTCACGGCAGCCAACCAACAAGTGACAATATCCAGCATATCCCAGAATTATTTATTAAGATAAAGGAAAATTTTCCTTTTTTTCCTTTTTTCATTTTCCTTTTTTTCTTCTCAAGTGTTCCTGATTGTGCTGCGTGCATCAATAACTGATACCCTAGAGAACCAGGTGAAAGTCGTAGTACAGAGCGCTTTGATCCATTTCAGGTTTTGCAAGACAAGACCAATGCCAGCTGCTGCATCTTCTTCAGTTTGTTACGGTTTTGAGTTAATTAGCGTAGACACATTTGTGAAAATGAAATCTGTTGCCCTTTCTGCTTCAGTTTGTACGATACGTCCTGAAATGGAGCAGGGTGCATTGCAGGGGGACTCGCCCCCTGTTTTTTGGAGGTTGTCCGTTGTCTCACTCTCATCGCGTTTGTCAATAAAGGTTCAAGAGATCCAGTACTTTGGCGCCAGCGCCCTGCACACCAAGATCTCCCGCTACTGGGGCGACATCCCGGCCGAGCAGTACGACACGCTGAAGACGCAGCTGTTCGGGCAGATCACGCGCTTCGCCTCGGGCCCCAAGATCGTGCTGACGCGGCTGTGCGTGGCGCTGGCCTCCCTGGCGCTCAACATGATGCCGGAGGCCTGGCCGGCGGCCGTGTCCGAGATGGTGCGCGTGTTCCAGGCGGAGGGCGCGGGCGTGGACGGGCGCGCGCGCTGCCTGGCGCTGCTGGAGCTGCTGACCGTGCTGCCCGAGGAGTTCCAGACCAGCCGGCTGCCGCAGTTCCGCAGGGGGCAGGTGCGCGGCGCGCTGGGGCAGGAGTGGGCCGCCGTCTTCCCGCTGCTGCAGCAGCTGCTGCGCCAGGCCGACTCGCCCGGCTTCATCAAGGCCAAGGTGCGTCAGGGGCTGGGGGGGGTCTTCTCGCAACTGTTTCTTCCTAATAAAAATAAAAATAATTGCTTATATAGCACTTTTCTGGACACTCCACTCAAAGCGCTTTACAGGTAATGGGGACTCCCCTCCACCACCACCAGTGTGCAGCCCCACCTGGATGATGCGACGGCAGCCATAGTGTACCAGAACGCTCACCACACACCAGCTATCAGTGGGGAGCAGAGCAGAGTAATGAAGCCAATTCAGAGATGGGGATTATTAGGAAGCCATTACTGGTAAAGGCCAGGGGGAACTTCGGCCAGGACACCAAGGTTACACCCCTACTCTTTTCAAGAAACACCCTGGAATTTTGAATGACCACGGAGGGTCAGGACCTTGATTTCACATCTCATCTAGAGGGCAGCACCATTTTTACACTATAGTGTCTCTATCATTATAATGGGGTATTGGGGCTCACACAGACCGCAGGGTGAACACCCCCTACTAGCCCCACTAACACCTCTTCCAGCACCTGCCTTAGTTTTCCCCGGGAGGTCTCCTGTCCAGGTACTGACCAGGCTCACAGTGCTGTGCTACATTGGGCTGCCTGTTGTGCCTCTTGTGACCTGCAGGGTCATATGGCTGCTGGTTTTCTGAGTGTAACTTGAAACTTCAAAAGGTGAAAATGTAGGAAGTAACAAAATATGCATTTTTTATGTACTAGAGGTTTTGACAAATTAGCTCGAGTGCATTCTGGAGTTAAAGAAAATGTAGTGCACTTTTGCTCTAGAGGAAAAAAAGCTTCAGCATCATTCCAGATCGGGGTTTTTGTTCCATCATTAACACAAGCAGCTACAGCTACTTGCGGGAGCCCGACCACTTTCCCTGAAAGGGTGCTGTGTTGTGCCAGGTGCTGAAGTGCCTGTCGAGCTGGGTGCTGCTGGACGTGCCCCTCAACGAGAGCGAGGGCTTGCTGCAGGAGTGCTTCGCCGCGCTGTGTGACCCCGAGCTGTTCGACACTGCTGTCGAGGCCATCGTCAACGCCATCTCCCAGCCCGACTCCCAGAGGTGAGGCCGCTGATTAGCACTAACACCCCCCCACCCATAACCCCTCCTGTGCCACCGGAAAACGTTTTAATTAGACGGGATTATTTTTGTAAAAGAGATGGAGATAAAAAGCTGCATAAAAAATGTGACTGAAACTAGTGCTGGCTTTAAAACGGATAACCAGGTTTAAAAGAAAAAGGGGTTGGGCTGTGGGATGCTCAGCCAGTAAGACCACAGCGCTTATAACCACTTTGAGTTTCGAAAGTGCCTTTTCGGGGTGCTTCATCTCAAAACTGGGGGAGAATGTAAAACATAGTTTTGAGGCAAGATTTGAAAATGCCGACTGAGGCTGTGGCACTGCTGTGACTGCAGCTTACCTTTCAAGGCTGGAGCAGTTGTCCTGACTGCCCGTGAACTGATAACCCTGCGCACTCGCACACTAACTCACCGTGGGCACTCTGCAGGCTCTGGGAATCTTTCAGTTTCCAAAGCGAGGCTCTGAGCACTCGGAGATCCTGCCGTCTCTTCTCCTCCTCCAAGCCTGAGGAACGATCTTGCAGCCCCTGTTAAATGTTGCTTCCTTCTTGACGTCGCGTATGGTCAGGTGCTGAGGGCCTGGTGTTGCATTTTATGTTGCAGAGCGCATATTGTGCCATGTTTGTGCTCAAGGATGCCCATCAGTTTTGCATTTGTATATGTAGAAATATTGACAATGAATACATAGCTTAAGTATATATAAAACGTCATTGCTTATTAAGGGACCTATAATTTCGCTTTCTCCATTTTCAGGTGTTCATGGCCTGATCTAGCGAATGTATATCGTACAGTATTTACAATATTTTATTCCTCATTGAGTGGGTACTGTAATATAATATATTGTAATTTACCTTAAACGGGCTCAAGTAATGTGTACTGTTCAGCATGGCAATTCTGCAATGCTATGTATGAATGCCAAATACGAACAAACATGCAGATCCCCCCAAACGGAAGGTTTGAAAATAATGTGCAAAAGCCAGCCCTTATATGAACTTTGATTGTCTGGCACCCCCCCCCACCCAACCTTAAAGCACTGGATAATTGCTGAGCTAATATATATATATTTACAGTGAGGAGTGGGAAATAAAAAGCGCGAGTGGCTCGGAGCCACTGATCCGCAAGAGGTCAGACGAGAGGACAGAGGGAAAGGCAGAGGCAGAGGGGGACAGGCGTGAGGGTTAGCGCATGGTTGGCCGGCGTTTCCATGGCAACGGGGTGCACGGCGCCCGCTGCGCCGGAGTCTCACGCTCTGCTTGGTACAGACGCAGTGAACACAGAGCTCCCCGGGGGATGGCAAACTGGGAGGGGGGGGTTGAACGCCTGCGTGCATCGGGGCTGCACTGCCTCACGTTACGCAGAGCCCTGCCGTAGCCAAACCAGCCCGGAACAGATGTCGCGCCCCCCAACCCCCCCCCAGAGCTTTCCTGAGAACTTGACGCGAGTCCCGGCCTCCTGCCGGAGCGCTTCTGTCCGGCTCTGCGTGATGCGCGAGGCCGCGTTGCTCGGTGCTTTGTTAGATAGATAGATACTTTATTGATCCCGTGAGGGAAATTGCAGTGCAACAGCAGCTTAACACACACAACACAGCCACAGTGTAACGAATTATATA